GAGGGAGTGAGGAGAGGGAAAGGAACCCTCTGTTGAAATTTTCTTTACCTTAGATTAGTTGTAAATCTTTTTGTAAGTAGATACATATGTAGATACTGTTCTGTCCAAGTAAGTTTTGTTCAGCATAATAGTTTTGAGATTTATCTGAGTTGTTATAGCTCAGTACTTCCCTTTTATTGCTAAGTAATGTTCCATTACTTATGAATATTGCCTTATGGATATCCTGATTTTGATTTATCCCAGACTTGCTATTATTATTATTTGTTATTATTATCTAATTTATTCATGATTAGGTAATGTCTCTCTTGCTTATTTCTTCACCCTTATGCCACTAACATTATACTTTAGTAAATGCTTATGGAGAGATTTTTTTAAGTGGTATGTTAAAAAGTGTTCTCAATTTTCTAAATGCTTTTACCCTAAATGCTTTTCTAAATGCTTTACCCTAGATCTTAGCTAGTGAAAGAAATCATTATTTTGTTTGTTTAATTTCAGCTCTGGGGATTGAACTCAGGACTCTCATGCACGCTAGGCAAGTGTTCTACCACTAATCCATACCTCCAGCCCCTAGCTTTCTTTTTTTAATACTTATAAATAAACTATCCTCAAGAAGTAATGGCTCCTATGCTCCCTTTTTTAATACTAGTAAATAAATTATCCTCAAGAAGCAGTGGCTATTAATACCTTAAGATTAAACTGTCTCGCAACGCTCTTTTCTGAGTTTCACTATGAAGAGTAGAAATAGAAAGTGTTGTGTGGTTTCTGGTTGTGGGTAGGAGAGTTCCCATTGTGACTTACTATTAGCAGCAGCTGCAAAAAAACAAAATGCAACCTAGGGGTAGGATAGAAAAGACAGACTTATAGGTTATGGATAACTGAAGTCAATCTTTGTTGCAGTTATAATGGAAACTCAAAGCCAAGCACTGATGGCTTACGTCTGTAATCCTAGCTACTTAGGAGGCTGAGATCTGAGGATCACAGTTCAAAGCCAGCCCCAGGAGGAAACTCTGTGAGACTCTTATCTCCAATTAACCACCAGAAAACCAGAAGTGGTGCTGTGACTCAAATGGTAGAACACACACCTTGAACTAAAGAGCTCAGGGACAGAACCCAGGCCCAGAGTTCAAGCCCCACGACTGACAAAAAATAAAAATAATGAGTCAAGTGGACAAGGTCAGATAATGTGATGTTAGGAAAATGAACCCTTAGATATGGATTTTAATGCTTTTTTCTTTCATGCATTTGTTTCTAACGCATTTATAAGATTATCTCTTTGTTGCTTTGTATGTCCCTCCCCCACAGTATAACCCCTGCTTTCATTGTATTTGATGTCAGTATAACTTGTGGAGGAGATGGGGAAAAAACAAGTTGTTTAAGGATATAGGTGGATCTGTTGCAACAATGAGAAGTACAAGTTGTCATGTCAAAAACGAGCTTTACAACGCTGGTGCGGGGGGGGGGGGGGGGGGGAGGCTGGGAAGGGATGTGAAGGGTAAACAAAGGAGGAGGCTGCAATGCTTGATAAGAAATGTACACATTATCTTGCCCATGTAATTGTAACCCCTCTGTACAGTATATTCACAAAAAAATTAAATTAAAAAATAAAGATAATGGAAACTCAAGTTTTTACTGAGAGAAATTTACGTCACCTATTTTTTATATTTTATTTATTAATTAGACTGGATTATATATCTTTGAAAAAATGGCAAAGTAACAACTATCAGAAATTTAAATGTAACAATTTTGCCATATTTTATTTACTATATTTATGGGTCATGTTCTTTATATCTGATCTCAAAATACCATAAAAACATCAAAACTCACTTTATAATGGAAAGTCTTTTATTGTGATATTGAGGAGAATATCTATGTATTAAGGATATCAAAAAAATTAAAATATTAAGAGCCACTCTGTTTTCTTGAAGGCATGAAAGTAATACCACTTAATAGGTTAGTTGCTACTATGCACTTTCAAAGCACTTTAGAGTCATTTGTATGTCTGAGACAGGATACAATTAATATTATTGGTTAATAGATGAGAGCTGCCCTACCCTGTTCTGTATTTTACCGTATTTGAGTTTCAGAATTTATTTTGAGCTCTCCAAGTAGTGCCTTTCATTGGCCTTACACAAGTACATACCATCTCCTGAGTATTTCTGGCATATTTTTCAGAAGAGTTTTAAAAACTAGAAACCAGAATTGTCAATATATTTAACTTGGAAAGTTTGTTTGGCATCATATGACTCACAGAAAAAGATAATATAGAAATTATGTAAAATAGTTCACAGATGAATAAAATTTTTTAGCAAACATTGTGTTACTGGTTTATATCTAATTCATTGTTTTCTTCTGGAGATTACAGAATCTTACACCTAAAGTTATTTAGTAATTGCATTGTATTGGTCTAGATATGTTTGCACTTAACTAAGAGAAAGGGAAGAAACCATGGTGTTTATAATTTTATCAAAGCACCTCTGTATTGCTGCTAATTAGTTAACCAGTCATCATAATTTGAAGAAGTAAAGAGTGTAAACAAGTTCTATACTAGTATAGACTGTGTGCTAGTTATTTAAATACAGAGCAGAGCACCATGAAGGTAAAAATTCCACAGCCCAAATTGTTTTATCTTTATTTACGTGTGTATTTAATCCTATTCTTATTTTTGAACTTTTTAATACTGCACAAAGTACTATCATTAAGTGTTCTTAATGTAGGTATTCTTCAGCACTTCTATCGAAAGTCATTGTCAGAATTTATTCTAATTCAAGGTTAATTAGTGTACCATTAAAATAATGTGTTACAAAAATTAATTACATTGCAGGTCAAAACACCTGTTAAAAAGCATAGTGTAAATGTCTGTGAGCATGTCATCCTTCTTAAAACATTGCTGTAAGTGTGCCACCTTCTGGGAAAATATATCCAAAATGAAAATCACTACTAAGGTCCAGTCATAGGTGTTTCCTCTAAAGTAAATTTTTGGCACCACCTATGACAAATTTAAAATATAACTACCATTAACAGTGAAATGTGTTGCTTATCTGCTTTCCCATCGAAACAGCTAACGATTTATATTTTAGCATTACTTGATTTAACCCTTTTGGGTCAAATCTAAGAAAAACAATCAAGAACCTGGCTGAGAAGTAGACATTATCTGTAGATCTTATGGTAAAAGTGTTATCTAAATTAATGTTTTGTTTTCCTACTCACTACTAGGTAATAATCTATGTAAATATATCACACATCATCTTAACTCTGTAGTAATACTTGTTAATTGCTTAAGTTAGTAGCACTAAATGTACACTGAAAATTGGAACTAAAAGCATTTTGAAATTTTACTTGGTTTTATTAGTGTAAGAACTAGGAAATGGTTACACTGAGCTATAGAATGTTTTATACACTGGTATTTATTCAAAAAGTCTAATTAAAAGGCCCATCTTGAGGATTTTTTAGTTACTGCCCTAGTAACAGCAGGTCAGTAGACAATATGGCTACAAAAAAATGCTGCTCTAGTACTAACCAATATATATTTTTCTTTTTTTGAAAACTGAACTTGTACATATGTTTCCTTCAAAAAAAAGTTTGAGGGTCCTAAGTCAGGCATAAAAAATAATTTTGCTACTATAACAAATTATGAATTATTTGCCCACATTTCCAAATTTTCGTTACCTTCTCTTGTATGATTTTATGTAAGCCTACTAGATAACAGATATTCACAGGTAAATGAAGGCAAATGGATAGAAGGGGTGACAGTGATCAAGGTGCATTGTTCATGTAAATGGACATGTTAAATTGAAACCCCTTTGTACAACTATTTGGAGATAATTTTTTTTAAAGCAAATAGAAGCAAGGATAATTGGAAAGGAAGAAGTTATCCTGCCCTGGTTTTTGTTGTTGTTTCTGTTTAACAAATCTGGTTTAATTCATTGAACTAACAGATAAAAGAGCCTAAAGGATAACAAGAATGTAGGCAGGTTTAGAAAAATCTCCCTTGACAAGGGTAATGCTTAGAGGGCTGGATTTGATGGTGTGCATATGTGTAACCTCAGCTGTAAGGAGGTGTTAAGTAGGAGGATTTCAGTCTTGGCCAACCCAGGTAAAAGTGAGACCCTGTGTGACAAATCACTACAGGTATAAAGGACTGTATGTATGGCGCACCTACTGAGAGAGAGCACCTACTGAGCAAATTCAAGACCTAGTGTTCCCAATAAATAAAAGAAAGGTATCTTGAAATAGTCATCTCCCCAGCTTACATCCATTTAAGTCATTTCTACAAAATCATAAAGCAGAGATTTCAACTTAATGTTGAAAAATATTCCATTCTTTGTAAATGAGAACATCATTACACCTTCAGAGAGTAGAATTAAACCATATATCACTCGTTTCTTTAGAAAACCCCTGAATTTTGGGGGGTTTGTTTATTCTTTGGGCTAATAAGCTTCTTCCTTAGGCATACTAAAATTTTCTAGCAGTTAAAACTAGAAATAACACAATAATAGTAAATTTAAGTCTTTTATAGACTAGAATAAAAGTTAATATTTGGTACTTTATCCCTTAATAATTAATCACCTATTCTGTTTTATAATTGTTTTTATTACTGTTTGATAATAGACATTAGTAGATTTTACAAGTATTTTTCAGATCATAAATGTGTAATATGATGAATATAAAGGAACCATAGTTAGACATTTTTTATTCAGCAAACAGAAATACAAATACAGAATATTTAGTTATAAATTTTACCTGTACCTATTAATTTTTAATCTATAAGAAATTTATTGCCAGAAATAAAAATTTAAAAAATAAAAAATAAGCCATAATTTTCATTTTTATGAACTTTTAAATTTACAAAGCATTCTCGTAATTCATTCATTCAATAAATGATTGATATAATCATTCAGAATAATTAACTATATTACTAATCTCTTTGTCTTTCTTAAAACGTTAAGTCTATTACACTCCCCACAACTAGATTAATAAATCATTTATCTTTCTGATTTTAGGGCAGAGCTCTTCTCCACTGGGCATGTGATCGAGGACATAAGGAACTAGTCACAGTCTTGCTACAATATAAAGCTGACATTAATTGTCAGGTAAGAATGATGAAGAAGTTGATTTTCTTGGTTTTTAGTGGATTTTGATTTGTTTTTAAAAATTCATGTAGGAAATTTCATCTTAGCTTGAGGATAAAATCAGAGGGATCATGGTTCCAGGCTAGTCTTGGAAAAAGAGTTCGTGTGACTCTATCTCAGCAGAAAAGACTGGGCATGGTGATGAGCTTGTCATTGCAGTTATAGCAGGAAGCATAAAATAGGAGGACTGTATTCCAGGCTGGTCCCTATTTGAAAAATAACAAAAACACAAGGGCCACAGATGTGGCTCAAGTGGTAGACCATCTACTTCACAAGTCCAAAGCCCTGGCAAAAAAAAGTATGTACCCAAAGGAAAAAAACCCAAAGAGTATAAGTGACTGTCTTTTAAAAAACACAAGAGGTTTTATCTTTGTTGCTATTGTTTTTAATGTACTATGTGATTTTTTTTTTGTTGTTTCTTTTGTATGTTCTTCCCTCATGGTATAACCCCTGTTTTCACTGTATTTGATTCAGGTACCCTGCATTTTGTATATACATTTTTCTAATTTGGGGAGGGGAAGGGAAATAAAATGCTGAAACAAGGATCCAGGTTGACCTATTGTAACAATGAGATGTACAAGACACTGTGTTTAAAACGAACTTTACAACTTGGGTGCGGGGAGGGAGGTGTTGGGGAGGTGGGGAGAGAAGGGATGGTAGGGGAAAAGCAAAGGAGGGGGTAACAAAATGCTTGATAGGAAGTGTACTCATTACCTTACTCATGTAACTGTACCCCCTCTGTACAGTATCTTTACAATAATATATATATATATATAAATAAACTCTTATACCTTTGTCTCCCAAATACCAAGTTCTTTTATGTAGATGTATTAATTCTTGTTATCAGATTTATATGTATCATTATAGGACCTGTTCATATACAAGAAACAATGATAGCAAACTATATACATAGTGATTTTAGTTTTGCTCTATTTAAGTTTATCATGGGAGTGTTTTGTAATAGTACATACCTTGATAACTAGTCTTTTAAATCACCTCATATTCCTTTATAGAAATATATGCCAATTTAATTAGCTAGTACTATTTTATACTTTTACCAGCAATGTACATGGGAGTTCTTATTTCTCTACTCTTACTAAAATAGGTTGCCACAATATTTCTTACTTCCTATGGTTGAGAAATGATATAACATTTTTTTGTATTCTATTTGTTTGCTAAGAGATACTGAGCATCTTTTCATATATTTAAAGAACCACTATTTTTTGTAAACTGTCTGTTGACAATATTAATACTGGATTGATGAGATTTTAACTAATTTATTAGAATATTTTGTATATTAAGAAAATATTGTTCTTTATATATTAAAACTTTTCTCCATGCTTCTAATACATTCATGGATTTTTTATCTATTTAGAATTGTTTTATGTGAATGTTAATAGCAATATTACTTTTATTTAGATGATGCCATCATTTTGGCCAGACTTCCAATAGTGTTGAGTGAATAATGGATATTTTTCTCTTGCAATTTGAAATGTCTTCTCAGTTCATCCATATGTTCCAGTCTATTACTGGGCTTATTCTTCTATTCCATTACTGTTTTTCTGTTTATGTACTTGTGCCATGTTCTTTTAAGTTTCACAATCTCTTAATTTCTACTGAGCAAGTTACTACTCATTCAGAATTCTTCTCCTCTTCCTCTTCTTTCTCCTTTCTCATCCTCCTCCTTTTTGTAAACTTTTGAAGTCATCCTTCCTATAGCTGCTTTCCTGAACTACTATCCACTAAGTTAAACAAAAACTACAATAAAACATCCCATTGGTACCTTCATGCTTTATTCAGGGTTATTTTGTTGAAAATGTTCCCAAATTCATCGTTGAGTTTTTGTAATTTAATTTTATTGTCCAAGTGATATACAGAGGGGTTACAGTTACATACATTAGGTAGTGAGTACATTTCTTGTCAAATTTGTTACCCCCATTTTTTGTTAGAGATTTTTGATGAACAGTTTTTTGTATTCTATTTGTTTGGCTAGCATAAAGCAAGCAATCCAAATAATTGCCTTATGTGGCTATATAGAATGCTCTTTCCTAAACACTAGCTTTAATACAAAGTAAGAGTCTATCAGTTAGGCTGATATTATCTGGCATAACATTCCCTATCACGTTTATATTCACATGACCATTTTATGTTGCTCTAGCCTTGTACTAACATTCATACTCTTATCTACGTTCACTTGATAGCAAGACTTTTGGCTTTGTTAGTTTGAGTTGATAACGTACTTCCAAGTCTCTTGTAATTTCTTTTTTGGTTTCGTTATTGAAAAATCCTTTTCAAATATAGACAATACAAATGTAATAAATGGAAGGAGAGGTTCATTTCCCTCATGACTCAATCTTTCTTAAACAACATTATTATTGACTGGCCTATTGGTTGCCAAAAAGGAAAATCAATTATATTAGAATTGTTTGCTTGGCCGTGGATCTTGGTACTAACTCAGCACAGGCAGGCTGATGTTATCAGCTATCTGAAGAATAATTTTTACCATTAGTCTGAAATGAAGTTGTAATTAGAGATATGTCAAAGTCTGTTCTATGTGTTCTTGTCATTTTTATCCTTCACTATATTTCATGAATTCTTTTATTGTACTGCAGTTTCTGCTTCCTGTGACTCTGATGTAATTGAACTTACAATTTTATTTCTTTAAAAAAAAATCTTTATAGATTTAATCCAGGTGCTAGTGGTTCATACCAGTAATCCTGGCTACTCAGGAGTCTGAGATCTGAGGAAAGTCCATGAAACCTTGAGACTTCTCTCTCTAGTAAACAACCAAAAAGCCAAAAATGGAGCTGTGTCTCAAGTGGTAGAGCCCTAGCCTTGAGCAAAAAAGCTCAGGGACAGAACCCAGGACCTGAGTTCAAACCCCAGGTCTGACACCAAAAAAAGAAAAAAGAAAAAAATCTGTATAGATTTAATTTGACTGGTAATAAGGGCACATTTTTGTCTCTTCTATTGGTTAATTTTGATTTTTCATTCATCTTTTTAGAGGTTAAGCTTTTACAACATGAGATTAGGGTATCATATGAAACCATGCCCCTCCCCTCAACACACGCACACCCCTTTCTGACTACCTGAGTAACTTTGATTTGTTAGTTCCTGGACAATGATTCCTAGCTACTCAGGAGACTGAGATCTGAGGATTGCAGTTCAAAGCCAGCCCAGGCAGAAAAGTCTATGAGACTCTTATCTCCAATTAACCACCAGAAAATTGGATGTAGAGCTATGACTCAAAGTGGTAGAGTGCTAGCCTTGAGCAAAAAGAGCTCAGGGACATGAGTTCAAGCCCCATGACCAACAGCAACAAAAATGTTTTCTTTGAGTGGAGTGGAATTGTTTAAGGACTTTATAATTTATTAATTATATAACTTACGGCTGGACCTAGGCATTCTAATTGAAGAGAAGTGGATCCTTGTCTCATTCCTTAGTTTAGAGGAAATGACTTTAGTTTTTCACCATTAAGTATAATGTTGGCTGTAGGTTTGTCATATACAGCCTTTATTGTATTGAGGAATGTTCCGTGGACTCCTGATTTTTCCAGAGCCTTCATCATAAAAGGGTGTTGGATTTTGTCAAATGCTTTTTCTGCATCTATTGAGATAACCATGTGGTTCTTAACCTTGCTGTTGTGGATGTGATTAATTATATTAATTGATTTGCGTATATTGAACCAGCTTTGCATCCCTGAAATGAATCCTGTTTGATCGTGGTATATGATTTTTTGGATGAATTGTTGAAATCAACTGGCCAAAATTTTGTTGAGAAGTTTTGCATTGATATTCATCAAAGAAATGGGTCTAATACTTCTCTTTCTTTGATGAGTTCCTGCCTGGTTTTGGGATGAGGGTTATGATGACTTCATAGAATGAGTTTGGTAGTTAACTTTCTCTTTCAATTTCATTGAAGAGTTGGAGGAGTATTAGTGTGAGCTCTGCTTTGAAGGCCTTGTAGATTTCCACTGTAAATCCATCCGGTCCTGGGCTTTTCTTAGATGGGAGGTCTCTTATTGCTGTTTCTATTTCAATGCTTGATATGAGCCTGTTAAGATAGTTTAACTCATCTTGGTTTAGTTCTGGCATGTCAATATTTGCTAGGAAATCTTCCATTTCTTCCAGGTTCTCAAACTTATTAGCATAAAAGTTTGAGAAGTATTCCCTTATAATGTTCTGAGTCTTGGTTGTTTCTGTGGTGATGTTTCCATTCTCATCTCTGAGTTTGTTTATTTGGGTACGTTCACTTCTTTTTCTGATAAGATTTGCTAAGGGTCTGTCAATTTTGTTAATTTTTTCGAAGAGCCAACTCTTTGTTTTGTTGATTCTTTCTATGGTTCTTTTTATATTCTAATTCATTTAATTCTGATTTAATTTTAATTATTTCTTTCCATCTATTGGATTGGGGGTTAGCTTGCTACTCTATTTCAAAGTGGTTCAGATGTCTTATTAAATTGTTGGTTTCATATCTCTCCAATTTGTTGATGTAGGAACTCAGAGCTATAAATTTACCTCTCAGTACTGCCTTTGCTGTGTCCTGGAGAAACTGGTAATTTGTGTGTTCATTTTGTTGAATATCATTAACGTTTGGCCATTTTCTCTAAATGCAGGAACGAGACAAGGATGTCCACTCTATCCACTTCTCTTCAATTTACTATTAGAATGCCTAGTTACAGCAGTAAGACAAGATGCAAACATAAAAGGGATCCAAATAGGGAAAGATGAAGTAAAACTCTCTCTCTTTGCAGATGACCTGATCTTGTATTTAAAGAATCCCACGGACCCCACTCCCAAATTACTCGAGCTGATTCAAAACTTTGGCAGAGTAGCAGGGTATAAAATTAACTCTCAAGCCGGGCACCAGTGGCTCACACCTGTAATCCTAGCTACTCAGGAGGCTGAGATCTGAGGATCGTGGTTCAAAGCCAGCCCGGGCAGGAAAGTCCGTGAGACTCT